TATTCTCAAAAGTTCTCAGAAATATTCTTTTGAGAGTTCTTGATTGAAAGTTTCCGAAAATATTCTCATTCAGGAGAACGTTTCCATTTTTTATCGGCGAATATTCTCGGAAATTTCCCAATGTTCGCGAATATTCGCATGTTATTGTTAAAAATGGCAATGAAAATATGATGAGGTTTGATTCGTATGACGTAGGGCTAACCAAATATCCTATGCCCAAGGATATGCAGACATCATAGTGATTGCTGTAACAGGGTAATATTTACCACAGTAACACAGCTTACAGGACTGATTATTGCTCAAATATGGTGTGAGGAAATCTTATGATCAACTCATGAAATATGCTTATCGTCCATCTCACCAAAAGATGAAGCTCATGGAACGTTAACAACCCTAAAATTTGCGGTATAATTCTTTTTAGATTCAATCCTCGATAAAATTCTATACTCGATTTTATAGTACCTAACTGTGAAATCCAATACACTAGAAGCGATAAAATGCGTTTTAGTATTTATAAAGACTAAAAATTACCAAACTAAAAAGTCCCCTAAATGTACAGAGCGATAATAATACATTATATTATTTACAATCTCAAGTTTATAATCCTTTTTCGGTGTCGCTGATCTTCTCCCAGTCGTCATCTGAGTCGCAATAATTTGCCGTTTCCCTTTCAATTGATCCCAGTGCTTGAATAATCACACCAGTTACATTATCCTGGTTCACTGCATCAACTTTGGAATTCTTATCCTCTTGCTCCTTATCATCCTCAATACTGTTATCATCGTCCAATTCCTCGTGCAATATTTGTTCGCATTTTTTCTGCTCAAATTTCTCTACTAACCCTTGCCTGGCCAGTTTGTCTTCTAACAAGGCTTTTTTAAACAAATATCTTTTCCAAAATAATTGATGTTCCAATATATCTGGCACCAGTTTGGCATAATTGTTCTTTAACACTTCCGAACTATTCATGTATTTGGCTATTCTATCCTCTGACATTTGATCCGGCTCAAGTATCTCTAGCCAACAATCATATTGTTGTTTTAAATCATCTTTGGGACCAGTCAAATAAGTTTCAACATCTTTTTGGAGGTCATAAAGAGCTTTTTGGAATTGGCTTAACTCGAGGGCCACTGCGTTTTCTACTATTAAAATTTCACTTTCCTCATCATTTGGGCTGGGATTTAAAACTGTATTCATTTGATCCAAAAAGGAACTAAAACTTCTCTTGACATTGCTGGCTGTTGAATCTGAAGATTCAAGACTGAGTGTCTGTTCCACGACTGAGCCTGCAGATGTCATCAAGGTGCTGGCTTCGTTTTTAACAGCCGTACCAAACTCTTCTAGGTCTTTTTTGACTAACTCCAGTACTGCAGTACTTTTACTTTTGGCAGAGTTTACCCAGGAATTAAACCAATTCACCTTGGACGTTCCTCGAGCAGAATTCGTGTCTGGATTCACTTCTGCCATGATTTACACAAAATTCACTGGAATTTTTGTAGAAATTCTTTTTTTCCCACGATTCTTGATTTGTTTTGTTTTAATTATTTTGATAGACAGCTTATACACCTGGGAAGGTACAACGAGGTAACATTCAACTGGTTGCTCTGGTACGAATAAAGACCAAGCAGTATTATTTATGTTTCAAAGTTTTCAATGTCAAAATCCATCTTGAGAAAAAAATCGAAAAAATGCCCACTGGCTATTTTGATAGAAAACACAATTTTCATCAATATAGCAGCTAGTTTGCAAACTAACCAAGAGTCTTGGCTAATTTACTTTAAAAGTATTTCGCGCACGAGTTACAAAGAATATTTTTCCTACAACTCCATTTAAATATCGATCATTCGAAGTTTAAATTGCATTTACAATCAAAGGCAGGTGAATTTTAATTATTTTTGGTTTCTTGTCAGGTGTCAGGTATTTGTTACCTGAGTGTGCGAACTAGGCATTTCGCACACGTGGAGAATCATTTCGCACACGGCGTCATGGGAACATTAAAAAAAAACTACCTGGGAAAAAAAATGTGACTTCGCAAATTGTCATCAGTGTGCAAACATCATCATTTTTTGACAGTTGTAGAAAAAAATAATGATAAAAAGTTTAAAATAAAAACCAATAATAAAACAATCATCAGATTTATTTAATTTGACTTCTAGAACTTTCCAATCCAATATTGAAGAGATCTACCTACCTACATCAAATTTGTTTATCACAGCATTTGCCAGTCTTCCAAATCCTCGTTTAAATCTAGTTATAGGAGATTTGTACCCACAGTTAGTACGATGATAGTGTACATATAATAGTCTATATTGTTTCTTATGTCATGTGTTACTTTACAACCAACCATTCATTCACCAGTTTAAACCGTTTAACCAGAACACACAGGTCCTGATGATCTCTCTTTTGGGTTAGAGTTTGCATGTTTAGGATGTCATCATAATTGATGGAGTCATAACTGATATTGGGCTTGTATGAAACCTATTTCAAAAATCTTTGTTGCACCCTTTCCAGTTGTTATTTATGTTTTCCATAAAAGGGGGACCAAACAGGACTCGCATTCTCCAGGATTTGGCGAACTATAGCGTCTATAGCTGAATAAGCATTTGTTAATTTGAAAACGCCAAGATCCCCAATGACACAAACCTTATTAGTAGGTTCGATTTCATTTATTGAGCAGTTAAAAATATGTGGATTTTTAGATCTATGGAAAGACATGACTCTGCACTCATGAATGATTAGCTTCACACCAGTGAAAGAAAATTTCAATTTCCCCTCATAAAATTTCAGTCATAGATATTTTTTATGACAGATGACAATTCAAGGAAATATTTAAGAGGGGACAGATGCCCGCCCTGCAAAACCGAGAAGAGATGTTAAGCTCTGATGAGACTGAGTTTTCTATTTTTACTCTGTGTTTTCGTGGTCACTTACCTATCTTGAGAGGGCTCGATAAAACCCTATATTGTATATTGTTACGATAAGGCATCGACAACCCGACGCCAAGATCAAGATCCTGAGAAAATTACTTATTTACGTCGGGTAGCGCGTCTCTCTGGTTATTCCAATATACGATTCAATGTTTTTCTAAACACATCCGTAGTGTGATTTCGACAATAAATAGTGCGTAGTAAGAAGTTTCAATTTAGTTTTAATTCGATATTTGTCGTGTCCGTTTCAATAAGTAATAAGAATAACTGAAATTGTAACTATAAAGTCAATTACCTAAAGTCTGTTTTTTTTTTAAAGATAATTCCCAAGTCAAAAATTTAGTAACTATGTTGGCAACACAAGCCTTTTCTACATAAAAAAATTGAAAGCTTTGACAATTTTACATTGTATTGCCAACCCAATGTCATTTTGACTTTTATCTTTAAAAAAAAAACAGATTTTAGTTTAATAAAAGTTGTTACTGTTTGTGAGTTGTGAACCCGCAGACTTATTCTGTAACTTACGACCGAGAGAATTGCGCAATTGTCGCTGTCAAACGTGAGTTTTCTATTCAAAAAATGCAAACTTGCAACCGGTTGCTGGTTGCGTTGTAGTTGCTGTTCGTAGAGAATAGGCCTGCCGGAATCCGTCACAATAATATACCGGGTGTCCCACTGAAAACTGTCAATGTGAATGTAAATCTTAGAAAGATGTGTCATACAGTCATCCATCCACTTTGGAAAAATTGTATTTTTATTCCTGATTACCAATCTCTCTTGTGAAGAAAATTTTTGAGTAACTAATAAATCACCTATTATTATACAGGGTGTTCCGAAACTATTGTGCCAAAAATTGAGGAATGATAGATTTCGCCAAAATAAACGTTTTTTACTTATAAACCCATAGGCGCATGCGCTTTGGTTAAGTAATAATAGCACATTACAGTCCGCACTGTGGTAGCCACCTTGCATACGCAGAAACGGGTTTGAATAAGCAGAACCTGTGGTATTAAATAATACAGAACCCAAAGAATGCTTGCAGTATTTATTTAAAATAATGAATCACATCAAAAGATGCTCAAAACTACGACCACCTGCCTCAATGCATGTGTAACAGCGTTGTAGCAGAAATATCGAGTAAATTTCTGCAGAAACCCTTCCCGAAACTGTTTCTCTGTATGCCAAACAAAACATAGGGTACCAACACGACAGACCACCACCACATTACTTGTTAGCCTTAAGGGAACATCTCAACGAAACATCTAGAAAGAGTGATTATTAAGGGGGCAGGGACTCCACGTTCACCAGACCTGACGGAATGCGACTTTTTTTATGGGGTCATATGAAAGGTCTTGTTTACGACACTCCAGTTGAAACAGCTAGAGGAAGTTAGTAGGAAGGATTGTTGCAGCAGCTGCTGAAATTCTCGAAACACCATGAATTTTTCAACGTGTTCAGGAGGCTATGCTACGGCGCTGTCACGCACGTATGGAGGTGGGTGGTCGTAGCTTTGAGCATCTTTTGCTGTGAATCATTGTTTTTAGTAAATACTGCAAGCATTCCTTGGGTTTTGCATCATTTGATAACACAGTTTCTGCTTCAAACACGTTTCTCCGTGTGTAAGGTGGCTACCAAAGCGACCTGTAATGTTCTATTATCACATAATCAAAGCGCATGCGCCTATGTGTTTATAAGTGAAAAACGTTTATTTTGGCGCGATCTATCATTCCTTAATTTTTGGCACAATAGTTTCGGAACACCCTGTACATATAGCGCATATCGCATTATGGATAATTTCAATTCATAAGCAGTAATATTATTTCTTATGTATTGAGAGCTGGCTAAGACGGCCAGAGTCACCAGGGCTGGGACTCTGTAACGGATAGAGATCGTTATCCCTATCGCTATGGCACTTGCTGTCTTCTTCTCTCGTTTTAAAATCAATAGAGAGGGGACGTCCATAGAGATAGAGAAAATATCTTTATTCGTTAAGGAGTCCCAGCCCAGAGTGCTGGCATTGAATTGAAGTTCATGCAAGCATGCAATAATAGTGCAAATAATCGTATTTCTTACCTCAAGCAGTTGAGTTCTGTTAGCTCTCCATATAACTTCTCCAAATTATTTCTAGTTAAAGAAAGGTGTTCCAACTTCATTAAGTTTCCCATTTCCTTAGGTATTTCAGTTAGGTTTGTTCTGTCTAGTTTAAGCCATTGGACTCCAGTCATATGGCCTACTGCATCCGGAAATTTGTTATTCTAAAAAATTATTCATTAGAATCTATGCTAATGTCGGAAATAAGTAACTGTAAATTGGGTGATTAAAATTAAATATTTGGGAAATAATAGGTAGGTTTAGCAAACAATAACATCATTGAGGCAAACAAAGATTATGTAGAAACAATATATGAATTTCCAACCCCTGAAACAAAGTATCAGAAGTTAGGAGATTTTTGGAATTAACTAACAACCATGGAAATTGGAAACCTGGCGGTATCTTCGAGAGTATCATATTATTCTAATGACCGTTTGCACTGACAATTTTAAGGAGTGCTTAATGATAAGTATTCCTTAATGGCCGTTTGCACCGACCATTTTAAGGAAGCGTTAGCATAAGTATTTCTTAAAGTGATATTTCTCCATGTGAAAATGTCATTTTAAGGAATACTTACCGCTAAGGCTTCCTTAAAATGGTCGGTGCAAACGGCCATAAGAGACATTTTTACATGTAGAAATGTCATTTTAAATTATAGTTACTTATCGTTAAGCCTCCCTTAAAATTGTCGGTGCAAATGGCCATAAGTCATAAGTAAACCAAAAAAATACCATGACACCCAAGATGTTGCCTATTCACATATGCACACTTTACGTCCTGTGGCATATAAATACATACATTATGTACTGGGTGTTTTTTTATCTTTGATATCATTTTAATCACCTGTACAGGGTGTTTCCTTATATTTTGACCCCTACCTACAGCTTTAGCTATACGAGGTGGAAAAAACTTTAAATATGGAAGTTGTAGGATTTTATGTCTATTATTTTTTGCGAATGTCAAAACGGGCAAATGACAGGTGCCAACTATCACAATGACAAACACTTGCATTTTCCGAATGGAACACCCTGCATATTTTTGACTAGAATGATAGCTTTTGTTCTTCTGATTCCAAATATACCATATATGTTGATATTTGGTTCAGTTGTTTTTGCGCTATTTAATTTTAAAATTGCATTGAGCAAGCCTCATCATTGATATAAGAAACCAGGACAGATTAAATTAAGGGTAATGTAAATGCATTTTAGAACTTGAATAGCATAAAAACAGCTGAACCAAATATCAACATATATGGTATATTTGGAATCAGAAGAAAAAAATCTATTCTAGCCAAAAATATACAGGGCGAGGGGTTTTTCACCTAACAAAATTCGTACACCAATTAAGGGGATTGAATGCGCCTCAATGCCAAAATATTTTTTCCTGCGCGAAGCACCTAACGCCCTCCCCTATTTATACTTCTTAGTGGGAATGAGATGAATGAAACAAGGAATCGAGCAAGGAATGCATTGCGTTCTTAATTTCAACGTAACTCTTTAGCAGTTGAAGTTATATCAAATTTCTTTTTTGCATTCGATTTATAATATAGGGACGAATGGCGCTATCTTTTTAGAAATCTGGTAATAGAAACGAGTTCTCGAAAAATTACAAAAATGTAATTAAAACCTGAAAAAACGAGAAAATTAATCAATTTATGGTGTCTTTTTTAATTAGCGCCAATCTTATGTGTGTTAGCAATACAATAGCACAAACCAGAATCCCAAAAATTATCTAGTTTTTTTTGTAGAAATTTAATTAATTCTTCTTGTCATTTTGCCTGTGTCTGTTATACCCGCAGTATCGAGTTCTCAAAGTATCAATACAGTTGATGCTTAAGTAAGCATTATGGAGATACCTTAGAGATCACTGGGACAAGTGAGTAAGGTCGGTCGTTGCTTAACAGCATCCATGTCACCTTTCTTAAATACAGGAACCACGAACCACTCTTGACTTCTTCAAACAGATAATTCTGAGTGTTTTATCAATCTCTGAGGAGGACTCATGCAGTCATAATAATAGTTGCTTGTAATCGTTATAAATTCCGTGCAGTCACATGCAGTAGCGAACAGGGTATTTGATTATATTTGGACCCATACCTACAGCCTTTACTATTTGAGATAGAAAAACACTTTAAATACAAAACTTGACAGTTTTTTTCTATATTTTCTTTTAACAGTATCAGAAAAAACAAAATCGCATCGGAGAATGGAGGAACATAGGTAACTTCACATCTCTTAAGCTAGAAGAGCAAAGTCAGCAGAATCGAAAATCAATACATGGAACATTAAAGGCTAATTAAATGCCCTAATGAGAAATTTGAGGCTCCTTAATTTTTCGCGAAAATGACTGTTTTGCTAGCTTTAATTTGAGCTAGCAGAACATGAGCAAAAAAGTGGCTAAAACAACGAAAATTGCAATTCCACTTGCACAGACATTAAAGGCTCATTAAAGGCTCTCGAAATACACCAATCCCAAATTTCAGGCTCAATTACTTTTTTTTGTGAAAATGCAAAAAGCGCGATGCGTGAGTGATGTCGGCCAAGCATGGCAGAAAAACCTCTCAGACAGTGAAAATCAGTGTTCCGATAGTGCAGTCGTAGTGAATACATTAAAGGCTAATTAAATGTTATTAGAAATTTTAGGTTCCGCCAATTTCATGGCTTTAACCTAAGCCAGCAGAAGATCAGCAAAAAAATAGTCAAAACAACGAAAATCACAATTTCACTTGCACAGACATTGAAGGCTCATTAAAGGCTCCGGAAATGCACCAATCGCAAATTTCAGGCTCAATTACTTTTTTGATTTAGTGAGTTTGGGAAAGTCTGATTAAAACTGCAAAGTACCCAAACGAACCAGGTTTTTATTGGTAAGTTTAGAAATGTCTGAAATTCGCGATTAGTGTATTTCCGGAGCCTTTAATGAGCCTTGAATGTCTGTACAAGTCTAATTGCAATTTCTGTCGTTTTGCCACTTTTTTGCTCAGGTTCTGCTGGCTTAGGTTAAAGCTAGCAAAATAGCCATTTTCACGGAAACTAGCAGAGCCTAAAATATCTCATTACAGCATTTAATTAGCCTTTGATGTATTCACAACGACTGCACTATCTGAACACTGATTTTCACTGCCAGACAGGTTTTTCCGCCATGCTCTGCCGACATTACTCACATATCGCCACTTCTCGCATTTCCCAAAAAAGTAATTGAGCCTGAAATTCGCGATTGGTGTATTTCCAGAGCCTTTAATGAGCCTTTAATGTCGGTGCATGTGATATTGAAATTTTCTTTGTTTTAGCCACTTTTTCGCCCATGTTCTGCTAGCTTAGGTTAAAGCTAGCAGAATATCAATTTTCGCGAAAATTGGCGGAGCCTAAAATTTCTCATTACAGCATTTAATTAGCCTTTAATGTATTCACTACGACTGCACTATCAGAACGCTGATTTTCACTGTCTGAGAGATTTTTCTGCCATGCTTGGCCGACATCACTCACACATCGCGCTTTTTGCATTTTCACAAAAAAAGTAATTGAGTCTGAAATTCACGATTGGTGTATTTTCAGAGCCTTCAATGAGCCTTTATTGTCTGTGTAAGTGAAATTGCAATTTTTGTTATTTCAGCCACTTTTTCGCTTATGTTCTGCTAGCTTAAGTTAAAGCTAACAGAACAGTCATTTTCGCGTAAATTTAAGGAGCCTTAAATTTCTCATCGGGGCATTTAATTAGCCTTTAATGAGCCTTTAATGTTCCATGTATTGATTTTCGATTCTGCTGACTTTGCTCTTCCAGCTTAAGAGACGTGGTAACTTCGACTTTTTTTAATGAATCACCCTATATATTATGCCATAAAATGAAAGATCTTTTCTTCCTGATTCCAAATATATATATATATATATATATATATATATATATATATATATATATATATATATATATATATTTACAGAGTATCTTGACCGGAGAATTTATAAACAATGGGAGTTTCTTGGGGTATCGGTCGTCTTGAAGGGCTAGGAAATAAAAATCTCTTTTTCCACTAAGCCGAGCTTTCGGCAATTATTTATTGCCTTCGTCAGGGCTACAACAATATAAAAGATCTTCTTATTATGAATAATCAAAACTATGACTAGGACATATAAATTTTTAACTATAACTTACTTGCAAAGTGAGAATTTTATAGTCGAAAAGTTTTCAAATTGTCGGAAAATTGTTGTTATTCTATTTTGACTATCAAACTGTACAGAATATAAATGTTAAAAATATGGAAAAATAATTAATAAACAATAATTGATAGATATAAGAAAAATAGAAGAGATAGAAGAATATGTAGAATAAAATTTTTAAGTGTATAAATACTAGTTTCTCATAGACATTGAAAAAAGTAATCAAAATATTAGAAATTATACCAGACATAAAAATTGCACACAAACATATCAATAAAATAGGCAATTTATACTCTAAAGTCAAAGACAAAGATGAAACTTTAAAACAATCTTCAGTAATCTATAAAATTCCTTGCGAACAATGTAATCAAGTTTATATCGGTCAAACATCAACTGTATTAAAAGATAGGATAACACGACATAAAAGTGATTGTAGAAGAACTATTCTTTCTTGTGCTCTTTCAGAACATTCTACTAAAGAAGGACACGATTTTGATTTTGGAAATTCACAAGTGATTATTCATGAACAAAATTTAAATAAACGTTTGTTTCTAGAAATGGTAGAGATATCTCAAGAACCTTTATGCCTAAATAAAAGAAAGGATATTCAAGATCTCAGTAGTATTTATTCGAACCTACTTACATCTAATTAAATTTATTCCTAAAATTACCTAACTGGTCTAGTGATGACACCAAAAATCAATGTCTATGAGAAACTAGTATTTATACACTTCAAAATTTTATTCTACATATTCTTCTATCTCTTCTATTTTTCTTATATCTATCAATTATTGTTTATTAATTATTTTTCCATATTTTTAACATTTATATTCTGTAAAGTTTGATAGTCAAAATAGAATAACAACAATTTTCCGACAATTTGAAAACTTTTCGACTATAAAATTCTCACTTTGCAAGTAAGTTATAGTTAAAAATTTATATGTCCTAGTCATAGTTTTGATTATTCATAATAATAAGATCTTTTATATTGTTGTAGCCCTGACGAAGGC